TGGCTTACTTAACCACCATTACAACATATCATAATCACGCTTGGCCTTAAGAGTTGATAAAATAATGTATACTCTTTCGGTTTCACAATTCAATTTACGGTTTGAATTTAATTTCGATCATTTAGGAGGACAAAGTTTGGTTTTGAATATTAGAATATCTATATTTATAAAATTTATAATAAAGTCATATTTGAATAATACGGAGTATATATTACAATGAAATGTATACAATTAATCTTGTGTCAATATTTTTTGAGTGATTAATGATAGAAAATGGAGTACATACCTATCATTTATTTGATTGGCTTATATCATGTTTAATTAATATTTAAATAATTCACCTGTAATAATGTAATTAGTCTATGTGAACAAATGTATGGTACATTGTGAGTGCCATATAATCCTTTTGTATGGTACCATATAATCGGATCGTCGTATATCCTTTTGCGTATTTTTGTTTCCATTGGTGCGTATTCAATATTCTCACTAAAGTCCAAATTGAGATGGCTCTTATAAATTGTGGAATTGTGAATAGAATGTTGAGATGTAATATAAAATTCAATATTTGTTGATGTGTGATACAAATGGAGGTGGTGTGACTTGTGAGCCCAGGTGTATACTTTGGTAAACGGTGATATTATATTGGGAAATTATCCTAAAATAGACAAAAAATATGTTTGTATATTTCAAAATAAGACTATTATGTTTTTAATCTGTAGGAGTAATTATTTCCATCTTTTGGTAGACTAGGTTTTACATATGACATTATTTTTCAAGCTCGATAGTTATTACTTTTATTTTGGGGATAAAAACGTGACAGTCTTATTTTGGAAGTCTCAAAGCCCGTTTGGTAAGCATGTTTTCCGGCTTATCTGGCTTATTAGCCAACTTTTTCACCAAACACATAACTTTTGATTTCACGCGCTCAATTACGTAATAATAAAAAAAAAGTAAGATTGGAGTTACTTCTCTGACTGTATTGGCTGAAGTTACTGTAGAAGATCATTTTAGCTATATTTTATATATTTTTTCTTTACTTCTCTGACTGCATTTTTTCTTTACTTTATTAATAAAATATTAGCTAATTTTAGCTAATATATTTTAGCTAATTTATTTTAGCTAATTTATAAATTATTTTATAAATAATTTTATAGCTAATTTTTTCTTTACTGAAGTTACTTTTTTACTTTTATTTCTCAAATTTTCCCTACTAGCTTTCAAGCCCGTGCAATGCACGGGCAATATGTAATTTAGCTAATTTGAAATTTGATTTCTTTCTGATCATATGTAATGTGATTTAAAAGAAAACTAAACTTAGTCTAATATATAGCCTGTTTGATAATACTAAAATAAATCGAATTAACTTAATTTACTGAAATTGATTAAATTCTGGCTGAATGGGCTGAATGAGTGGAATCTCCTGAATCATGAAAAAAATATGTAAAATATATTCCATTTGTGAAGCCAAGAAAAGATTATATGAATTTAGTCAAATTGATCTTCTACATAAGCATCTCAAGTAAATATAATTGTTATGAACCCGATTTTAAAGAACTCATAATCTCACGTCCTCTAAATTACTTTATTATGCACCTCAAGTTTTTTTCTTCTACTATTCCTCATTCAACTTGATGTGAAATACTATGTACATACTTTTAACTTTTAATAATAAGATGTTACATTTTACTCATTATTTCGTCACACCGTAATTGTAAAAAATGGAGTTTTTTTTAACATCTTACTCATTATTTCATTACATTGAAAACAATTTTTAATTATTATGAACATCTAAATTAATTTATTGACCATTTCAAAATATCAAATTACTCTTAAAAAGTTCCTCTTTTATATATATATATATATATATATATATATATATATATAGTGATTATCTTATATACTTCGTAAATACGAGAACAAAATATCAAATTACTTGGGGAACATCTATAGACAAGCATGAAATATTTATTTCATGAGTGTGGCTTTGAAGCCCACAATGTAGTCATGTAGTGGCATGCTATATCAAACATTCAAACCTACTATGTACCCTAAATCCATCGTGCACGAATGATGCTACCTACCTATGGTCCTATCCACGCACAATGGCTACCTACGAAGAAAGAAATTTGTGAATGTGACAAAGTTAAAGTCATTATTTCTTTTGTCCAATCCCCCCACTCATGCATCTTCTAGTTTAGACCTATATGCCTATATCCACGCTTCTTAAACAACAATCCGAACTAGAAGTGCCTGTTTTGTTATTGAATTTCATTCGAGGCGTGGTTGAAATTAAAGCATTGGGTGTGGAGTGACGGTGGCTTATCCTAAAAGAGGACAATCCGTATACAGTGCAACCTGTGCACGGTGAGCACCGTACTTCCAAGGGTAAAATTCGCGTGAACAATACCCTTGTATTTGTCTCAATTTTATTTCGTGATGTAAATCCTTTGTTTTGGTATGTAACTCACGCTATTGTTAAATGTAAATACATTATATTCAAATGTAACTCATTGTGGTGTAATTCGCATTATGAAAAATGTAAATCATGTGTAGGCAAGATGTAACTTGCAGAGAAAATTCACATGTAACTCGTGCTTCAAAAGATGTGACTGTCTTATAAAAAGATGGAACTTCAAATATTAAACACACACATATATATACATACATATATACACATATATATACCAATTAATTCCATCGAGAGCTTTAACAAAGGCGAAATCTGCCTTCAATTCTTGAACAACAATGATGGAACTCCAATTAATCTGCCTTCAATTGTTTTAGTGGATTCATGTCGGCAATCGAGGGATAAAACGATACCTCCTGCACCGCCTTGACCGTCTAAGATATTAAGCAGTGGATTCATGTCGGCAACAGAGGTGATAGAGAGCTTTCCGGAAATTGGCCACTGACATGAGGAAAGAGTGATGATCGGAAATTTAAAAAGAAATGCAAAAAACGATACCGTATTTGGACAGGACATACCATGTGCATGGTATGCCGGTCGTACGGTATAATTTTGCCAAAAGAGGAGAAATGTTTTGAGTCTTTGAGAGCCCATTTGGTAATAGTGTAATTGGCTGAATTAGAGAAATCCGTTGAATTGAGTGAAATTCTAACTTAAACGAGTGAATTTGAAAAATACCCCCTCCCCCCAACACCCCCAAACCACCCAGCCCAACTCGCCTCTTACCCAAACCATTCAAAAAAACCAAAAAAGGGGGCCTAAAGCGGTCGGGCCAGTTCCCAGTGGGCTGCAGCCCGAGCCCGCCCCCAATCCCCCCGGTCCGGGTTAAAGGCCCAGTCCCGATCAACTGGGGTCAGGGCGGTACCGCACAGTGGCAATTTGGTCCGGGTACCGGGCCAGTCAGACCGGTCCTAGGCCACCCCCACTATAGACTAATAGACTAACCGTTTAGATATGAGTAAAGGGTCAGTTTGGTCGTCGAAGTTGCATAAAAGGGGTTAAATAAGTCCTTATATAGAAGATTCTGTCCGGACATGCCATTTGAGGCGGTTTCCGGTGGAATTTTTTGATAAACGTTTTTGAGCATCTTATTCATTAAGTCTCGTTCACTCATACCAAATTTCAGCTAAAAATTCAATCGGGAAGGCATTCAAATGAATTCTTGAAGATAACTGCGTTTTCAACTGCACAGTTATCTTCAAGAATTCATTTGAATGTCTTCTCGATTGAATTTTTATATGAAATTTGATATGAATGAACTAGACTTAATGAATAAGATGCTCAAAAAATTTCATCAAAACAGGGAACCTCCCCAAATGGCGACGGCCGGATACAACCTTCTATATAAGGACTTATTTGACCCCTTTTATGCAACTTCAAGGACCAAAGTCACCAAACTGACTCTTTACTCGTTTGGAACTTTAGATATGATCTCATTGATAAGACCAGTGGCGGAACCAGAACATTATTTGAGCAGGTGCCGAGAAAAAAATTGGCAAAGGTGCCAAAAAATATATGAAATCTCAAATTTAATAACTTGATAATAATATTAGAAAATGAACACATACAATTATCCAAATTCAAAGTGTTCGAAAACTTAATGTTTACATATCAATATCGAAAACTTAATGTTTACAACATAACAACAATAAATCCATGTAATTCAAATAATATTACATAGATGAATCATCACTTATTAAATTGAATTTATAACCTGATTTTTTGTTTAAGCACTAGTACATACATATATAACACAAATGCACAAATTCTTGCATATATGATATATCCTAATTCGGTAATTCCTAAATAAAAAAAACACTAAAGCACAAAAAATGTAAGAAAATAAAACTACGGAGTAGTGGAGTACAACTTTACAAAATTAATAAAATAATACGGAGTAAAAGGATCCTTACCCAGTTGGTGAGTTGGGAGTTACCCGCACGGCGGCACAGTGCCTCACGCCCTCACTGATTCCAGATTTACATCCTCACTCAGCCCCTCACCTTCTTCACGAGTTCCTACTTCCTAGTTCAGTAATTCACCCCTTCAGCCTTGTAATTTATGTTTTGCACTTTCAAACTTTCACCTCTTCTGTTCTTTACTTTTGGGCCGAGCAATTGAACAAATCCAATGAATTATCCTAAGTTTCCTAACGGCGTCGTTGACTATATTAGCTGTCCTTTTACTTAAACAACCGTCAAACACTCAAACGGTGTCATATATTTTAATGAAACTTTTAAAATAAAAACAAAATAGCACTCTGTAACCTACGGGAGAGGGGCAAAGAAGATGAAAGAAAGCTTTGGGCAGTTCACCAGACAGGGGCGGCGGCGGATATAGGATACATATGTACCTTGATTCTTCCGGCGAAGGGGTGGCGGCGGCACCGGCTCAGCCCCCCTGGTTCCGTCACTGGATAAGACGATGTTAAAACGAAAATGAATACTACATAAAGTATAAACGTTTTATTCTCATGAGATATTGAGATGGAGCCATGGAGGGAATATCCATACTACGTATAAAGCATTTTGTATTGAACAGTACGCCGATGTATCATTTTCCTCAAAGAAGTATGGAGTAATACATTTTTAACTTACAAAGTTACAAATAATCTGAAAGGTAAACTTACATATGATATGATGTGATACATCATGACATCATATATGGAATATTCACTACAAGTGTCCCACTGTCCCGTAATGCAAAAAAAAAACGAAAGATAACTCAAGAATAAAGACTACACGTCAGTCAATATTGTTAAATGCTATGTAACAATTAGAGTACAAGTTTTGAAGCGATAGCCTCAACATTTTGCATGGGGCTAACATTCCAGCGAACTACCATACACAAATTAGCGATGTATGAAACTGATTTACTGTGAAATGATGATATTATTATTACTGGGGAGGATCAAAGATGATAACTGAAGCTCCACTTCTTCCCAATTTTGGACGCGGGTGATTAGTGGGTGGCCATTAACAAAGTCTGACTTGCACCATGGATATGAATTTTCATAATCAAACAAAAGAACCTTGATCCCAACTTCAGCACACTCAATGGCATAATTAGGATTATCATCAATCAAAACTTTTGCTCCCAGTGACCTACACCAAAACCCATTTATTAGGCACACTCAATGGCATAATTAGGATTATCATCAATCAAAACTTTTGCTCCCAGTGACCTACACCAAAACCCATTTATTATTTAGAACAACCTCATGCAACATTGTCAAGGATTCATCCTTCGAGAAGCAAATTGGAAACAATCAGAAAATCAATCTCAATGGAGGAATGTTCTAAGGGCTTGTATGCCACTGCACCCGTGACCCGTCCCTAAAAGGTTTGCCGAGTTCCATAATTTCATTACAACAACATTATCATACCCCAATGCCACAAAGACACCCACTTACGGTTGATAAGGGTGTCAAACAACATGCAGCCTTACCCATGTAATTACCATGTACTGCACAAAGAGATTGTTTCCTAATGAGTAATGACAAATGATGAAAATCGCGTCAAAAAATTACATGGATGGAGTGCTGCTTCATAATAGAGAAGTGCAGACAGTTTAGCAAGTAATTTTGCTCTTTTTTTTAAGGAAAGTAAATTTTATTAAAGAATATATAAAGGGAAGTACAAGCAACAAAGGTAAAAAAAGAAGAAAAAAAGGAAAGGGGAAGACAAGAAAGATCAAACAAACATGAAATACAATAGAAGAAAACCAACCCTAATCATCAAAAGGCCCTCCCTAACATCTCACTGTTCTCATTCAAGACGGGATTGAGATCTCATCCTCATGATATGTGACCGTTGGTGTTTTTTACTGTATATTTTGATTTGGGTATTCACGTTCTGCGTAGGCAAGCAATTGTCCCTCATGACTAATTTGGCCTTGTCACAAATGTCTTGATTTGTATCTGAGTCTCATAGATCCTCCATAGATGAAATAGGAACCCTCTTTTCACCCTCTGAAGCATGGCCAAGAAACTCATCTCTAGAGTAAGAAAGCAGCTGCTCGGAAAAAACCTCATCACTATCATGGCTATGTGTAAAAGCATTACTCAAGTTGACCCCAAGAATTGAAAAGTGTTTATCTTTCTCTTCATTACTTATTCGCTCATCCAAAAAGTCTCGCTTACCCAAATAAGAGATAAGAATTCTTTCAAATTCTTTAGTTAAAAATTGAGACAACGAATCCACCCCATTAGTCAGAGATGTCTGAAAGAAATCTTTAAATGTTTCTAGAGAAGGATCAGGTTGCGGCATATGTAAAGAGGAGCATAGGTCCTCATTAGGGTGCACCACAAGAGATTTGTCAGAAGAATTAGAAAGCTCAATATCAACCTGCAACAATTCTCTCGAAATATGAAAACAAAATGATTTGCTTTCAATGTAAATTTCAAACTCATTGGCTTTATTCCATCAGATTCTCGCGCCCAAATTAGTGTCTTTGGTTCCATTGGAAATGATGGAAATGAATTCATAATCTCATTCGTCGTCATTACCCTAGTGCCGCAAAGGCTCTAGGGGGGGTAGGGGGGGTCGGATGTACGAAGTCTTACCCCTGTACTAAAGCACAGAGAGGTTGTTTATGAATGACCCATAGTGAAATTCACGTCAAAAATTGCATGGACTGACTACTGCTTTATAACAAACACCGCCCAACACTCCTATCCTCATATCATGAAAGGTCTACTAGCAAACTTATAAAACAATCAAAATAACAACCACCACTACAACATAATTATTGATGTAGTTGTACCTGCAAATCTCTGATTTGGGTGTGGATTTTCCATTTAATGCAAAGTGATTTCCAAAATAAATTTTCTGAAAAAGGCCAGGATAGTGCTTCTCAATCCACTCAACTGTATGATCTTGAATTGCATATTGCCGTGACCTGTCACAAAATGATCATTAACTTCAATCCTTTTGTAATCAATCACTGTAAGAAGGCATCACGCGTGAATGAAATGAAAGGTAAGTACATACGTAACTATTGACATATTACAAACTTTGGATAGGTTTTGTATAGCTTGCTGAGCACCAGGAATGGGATGGATTGCTGTCTTGAAATAAGACGAGTCAAAAAACTCATGAACACGAATGTTTGCTGTTACAGAAAACCATAAACATATACTCAGTATTATTTAATATATTTATAAGGCAAATCAACCAAAACATGTTTGCCATTTCTTGAGCAAGATAAATGCTGAAACCAAAACAGAACGTAAGACCTTAACCATTTACTGTAATCACCATCCAATTTGGACACAAAATTAGGCTTTGTATGGTAGCCTCATCTGGTTACTTTGGCTTATATATAGGCAAGATAAGTAGCTTTTGACTAACTAATCTTGCTGAAATTGATGTTATTGGGTTCTTTTCCTTTTAATAAAATTCAATAGATTCTGTCAATTTACGGTTTCCATAGACAAGTGTATGGGATGCTTTGATTGAAATACAATCTTACCTTCGTCCTTTGAGCATCTCCATATCTGTGACAGAAGGAAAATGAAAATTATATTAGGCAGATACATTTTGGTTTCTATATAATAGCATGGAAATTGAATAATCAAGAATACTAACAGTAAGAATGAAGGGGGTAATTTCAGCATCCATAACCAAGAGGTAGGAAATGGAGATAAGACACAATAAACACATTTCTTTTCCAAGTGCCAACTTTGAATTGAATTGAATATTGTTGACATTTATTAAGGAGTTCACTTTTTCATTTTTAGACGATATAGGAAAAATCTCAATGTATATTATAGAGGCATGATAAGGAGGGCCAGAACCGAATCTAATCTTGCCCATAAGTCCATGATATATATAATACTCAGTATAACAGAAGGGAGGAGGAGATCGAAAGATGGGCACCTTGGCAAACTCATAAACGTGATATTCAGACACAGAGTGACACAGTGAGTAACGATCTGCAACAAACTGATTGATTGCTGATACAAAGTTTCCAAGAACTGTCCAGGAAAACACACATAAGGCGAATTTCTATAAGCATGAAAAGTAAAGCATGTTAGACCAAGAACTTATGGCTTTACACAACAAGAAAGTCAAGTGAGACCATAATTGTAAGTTCCTAAGATGATTACACACTACGATGCAACTACTCACTCGAGACAACACTAAGCAGCAATGCAGCTGGAGCTCTGTAAATAGTTTAACTTAAATGAGGGATACAGGAATCAAGGTTGTCAAACAACAATTCTAACGAGCAATGAAATTCCACGAAATAAGTGATCATTGTTAGGCAAAAAAACAATGGCATATGGAGGTGCAAATTTACTCTAAAGGCACAGTTTTAGATTTTTAAATCAATTACTTAAAGAAATTATTGGTACAAGAAACCTAAACTAAACACTGGAATGACAACCTAGATGCAATTATTCATGCGTAAACTATTTGATGTCATAACAATGGGCTTGAACTGACATGGCGAACATGGACCAAGTAGTATATCCGCATATTCAGTTGATCACAATTATACAAATAGACAAACATACCCTCATCAATATCAACAGCCACCACCATCTTCTCTGAAAAATCAGGATAGCGAAATCCACCTGAGCTCCCTATGTGAGAATAATCGCTGCTGGTATCAGAAAACTCGATTGCTCCATTTCCCAATCTACTATCCTCCGAATCACGAAGGAACGGAGCAAATGCCTGTGGCCTAGGCAATTCATTATCACCGCCACTGGATTTTCTTGTAATACCACCTCTATGGCAACAACCCTTAGGCACGAAAACCAAATGTCGGTTGACGTATTTACTCCTGCCGACCGGAAAACACCGTAACTTTGTTTTAATGGGAGAGATGAGAGGAGGCCTCGCCGCTGTGACCATGGCGCAGGCGGAAAAAAGTTACAGATTACTACGGCGGCACGGCCCACCGGAAATAAAGCTCCAACTTTATATCCAAAAGTGAAGTTAATCTAATAACGCTGCTCCCTCCCAAAATGGTACGGAGTACTACGTAACATCCTTTCAATTAGGTTTATGGAGTGTTTGCATTTGATTACAAGTGTTTTTCAGTTTTTGGTTTAAAAAAAGTTAAAAAGAGTGTTTTCAAATGACAACTTCTGCTTAAATTAATCACTTAAAAGCTAAAAGCTGGAAGCAGGTGGAAGAGTGCTTTAAAGTGCTTTTCACTTTTTCTATTACACAAAAAGTACTTCTTTTACCAAACACTACCAACTTTCACTTTTTCAGAATCACTTTTTCTTCAAACACTACCAACTTTTACTATTAATCACTTTTCCCAAAATCACTTTAAAAAATCACTTCTTTAAAGTTGAAGCAATTGCAAACACTCCCTTAGGGTTCACGTTTGGTTTATTCAGTTCCAGAGATAGTATCAAACTAAAACCATTTGAGTTTCGGTTCGGTTTTGGTTTGATGTTCGGTTTATCAAAGTAAAAATTGTTAAGTTCAATTTAGTTAGATTTGATTAGGTTTCTTATGTTTATTATTTTATTTGATAAACTTCTATATTTAGAACTAGAACATGAAAAATAATAGTTCATCTCATCTTCTTGTATTTACTATTTAAATAAAATGTAAAAGAAAATAAAAGATAGAAAAAGAAATAATAAAATATTATAAGTGCACGACTAATTTATCTTGCTAAGACTAATGACATTAAAACTTCTAATGTTAGAAGTTTTAATATAATTTGAAAAAAGATTCACTTCTCGCAAAAAACAAATTATAGTTGATTCACATTTATGATATCACATAAAATATTCAAAGAAAACTAAATGAGTCGGTGGTACAAATGTTGTAACATTCACAATTTTAGTCAAATAAATGTAATTTGCTATTGTTATCGTCAAACATATTTCCATACATGTAGAATACAAATACAAAACATAACAAATACCAAGTTGCAGGAGGCCAGGCAGTGCCGTCCGGTCAAACCGCTACTCCCTTGATAGTGGCTGGTAAAACTATATTATGTTATTTTCCTGTTGTTTATTCAGTTCAAAACATTGCTTTATTTTTTATTTCCCCTTCTAGTAGCAGGTGCAACATTACTGCGTATGGAGTCTACCATGTTGCGGGGTTAGCGAGATGGTCCGCTTGTATGCGTGAATCCAGCTCAGAGTCTCACCCCAGTGTAGCCTTCGTTATGGCAACTATGTATCTGGTTCTCAGTTTTATTAATTATTAAGTTATCTGTTTTTAAAAAAAATACAAATATGTCATATTAGTTAACTTTGTCATAATGAAATTATGAAATTTGTAAAAATTAAAATGGTATATGCTAAACATGTATTTTTCATGTCTAAATTATTTATTTACTCCGTATATCCTAAAGGTGAAGAGTGGAGATATTTACAAAGTATTATATATATTATAATTAAGTTTTTCGGTGTTCGATTTGGTTTACAGTTTTTCGGTTTTAAACCAAACCAAACCATTCGGTTTGAGCAAATTGTTACCAAAAGGTTTACTTAAGTAAACCCAAACCAAACTACTAATTTTCGGTTTGGTTCGGTTTGGTGCGGTTAAACCAAACTATTTTGCCCAGCCCTACTTTCAAGTTTTAGTCGTTCTAAAAAACAAAGAGCCGGTTTGGTAATTTTCAAATCGGCTGCATTGATAGATTCTGCTAAAAACTACTCCGGATTTATGATTGAAATGGTTGATTATGTTGATTTATGAAAAAAATATTAACGAAATGTTTTATTTAATAAATACATAAAAAATTATATAAAAACGGCTAAAATGATTTTCTACAGTAATTTCAGTCAATGCAGCCGGAAAAAGCAACTCCAACCTTATTTTTTCTTGTTATTACAACCCGCTAAATCAACATTTATGTGTTTGATGAAAATGTTAGCTAATAATCCTGATAAGCCAAAAAAACATGAGCATCATCCAGGCTCAAAGTATAATACAAGGTACTATTATTGATAGGGATAGTCATAAAGTGCGGTGATGCGGTGTTGCACTACTTTTAACCAAGGAGAGAAAAACTAAACCCCAATGATAGGGATAGTCCATGTCAAATTAGATTGTTAAATTTGCTGAATTGTTGAAAAAATGTATTCAAATTATATTTTACTAATGAAATAAATGAATATTCTACGGAAATAACTAATTTAAACCTCTTCAGTAAAACACAAACAAATGAATATCAAATCATTGATAAACACTTATTGACATTGAAGCTTCTTGATGCATCAGGATGGTAGATGGTTTTGGAGTATGATTTCATTTTAAAGTATCACCCTCACCCTTGAATGAGGGTGATCACCCCTTCTCTAATTGGTTGTCATGTGGTATTATATATGTTTTTCACATTTATTATGGCTGATGGAGTATATGGTCCAGGACCCCAGATCCACATACTTCTGCTACAACAAACATGCCTAACAATCACAAGCAACACAGATACCACGACCCAAATATAAGACAAGTAGACCCTTGCAAGGAACACCCTTCAAGTCCAAGCCCGAAGGCAACAGACTCCGGGAATCACCCTGATTCGGGTCAACAATAGGTCTGGATCGTTCGCTTCCCTGAGCAAGCCCTTGGGCAACAGCCTTCGACATCGTGATCAAAGGCCTTGGTCTCGACACAGACACCTTTTCCGTCTGATGTTCCTCATCTCCCAACCACTGCATTTAATGTTGTGCCACGTGTCAGCGTCCGCACCACAGGGGACTCTCCGCCATGGATGAGCTTACACGTGTATGTGCATTTAATGCACCTAGCATTTATGACTAGTATAAACAGCAGCCCTTGGGCAGTTGTAATGGACTATTGTTCATTCAATACTATTGCTCTCTCTCTCTCTCTCTCTCTCTCTCTCTCTCTCTCTGTTCATTTAGCCTTTTATGTAGTTGGACCCATATTAGCGGTCCAACCCATTATTTCTCTATAAATACTCCCTATGGGCTATGGGAGGTCTTGTAAACCTAGAATCAATATTACACATTCAATACATTGTTCATCTTCTTCTCCATTTGAGCTCAATCTCTCCATTAATTGTAGTTTGGATACCTATTATTCCTCATTTATGATTCAATTTTTAAAAAAATATCAGAATTTATAAATTTTATAATCTTTCCAATAGGTATCATTCATGATACAATATTAAAAATTTGTAGAAAAAATAACTTTTTTCTAAATATCTATTTAGCCATATTTTGCGGGATTTTGCTCTTGCACATGTAAATTTGGCCAAGCACGGTAGAACTATCATCTCATTATCCTTTGCAAAGTTTTTCTGTCCCCTTATTAGGTTATTTTTATTTGTATGCTTCATTCTATTTCCCTTTTTTTTAGTTTTCAATATGTGGAGCATGTGGGCAGGGTGGATGCTATTTTGGAAAAGCCAACAACACTTTTAGTTTTGCACAAAAATGTGTGACGTCAAATCGCGAACATTATTTCAGGATGGAGGGGGCATTTAGTAAGCCAGACATATTACTTGAGTGATGATCAAATCAAGAAACCATCCGTCATAGCTGCTAGTAAAATTTATTTTTGACGGTTCAGGAATTGTTTGATGTAGGAACCTGGTTCGCACCCAGAGCGAGGTTGAAGGAACTGGTCACATGATAAGAATGATGTTCTAGTATGTTGTCTCTAAATATTTGGTAGATGCGGGTGTAGATATGTAACACCGTCCCCAAAAAGTATTTACTTCTAAGTAAATAATGTATTGAACTTATGGAATGGTTAACGAGTATTCGAAGTTGTGAATTTTTATTAATATTTTTGCGTGAATAGTAAATTCGCACGTGGGGCCCGCACCGGGAACGGGGGCCGCCCGATATTCCCGAGACCGTATAGTTTATTCATCTTGGTCAATATAACATTTATATAGTGGTGGATAATTTATTTGGTCCAAAGGAATAATATAGAGTTGACCGGTTGATCAAAAAGGGCCCAAATACCGGTATTGGCAATTTAACCGATAAAAGCCCGAAATTAAATTTCGGGGACTTATAAATTAAAGTTGGGGAATGAATATTCATTATAAGGGTCATAATGATGGAGAACACATGGTATATTTTATTTGACCCGATAAAATAAAATGTATTTAAAACAGTCCGAAAAATACAACTTTCGGGACCGATTGTACACGTCGGGACACAAAGGGATGACCTCCCACATGAGTGGGGGCCACCCCACGTTTTTTGGGGCTGGACAAACAAAGATTGTGCTGGGTTGACAAAGAAATGAGTGGAGGAGGTGCAAAGGGCCCTTTAACCTCACTCATTTGTCAAATGAGACAAAGAGGAACCCCCACCCCCCTTTCCCTTCCATTATTCGGCCAACCCACAAGAGAGGAGCAAGAAGGAGCTCTCAACCCATCCTCCATTTTTGCAGCACAAGCCAAGCTTAAGGAGTCAAAAGAAGGGGTTTTGGGAAGGAAAAGTTGGGAGAAAGTGAGAAAGATTAAGGTAATGACCTTATACTAAGCTTTTCCTTTATTTTCCTTCTATCATATGAGATATATATCATATGAAGAACCTTGAGGCTTGTTCTACATGATTTAAGTGTAGAATGGTAGGTTGGAAGGTGGTTC